AATGTAGATCATAAGCATATTTTTAACAATTTTCCAGGCAAATTTGCCTGGAAAAGCTTACAGATTAAGGGATAATAAAGTATACTTTTTGATTTTTTTTTTATTCTTCTATAAACTTTTTAGTTTAGTTTAGTTTTTTTTATTTTTTTTTATATTTTTTAGTTATGTAGTTTGTTATTGCTTGATGTAATAAATTACATCTAAATACTTTTAAAAGCAACCAAAAAAACTGAATCTAAAAATTAAACCTGTAAACATTAAAGTATTGCATTAATATCTTTTTTAATAAAGAAAACCAACATAATTACCTAAGTGAAATAAATAAATAATAATAATAAACTTGATTAAATATAATTACTCTTATTTTTTTAAAAATAAGTCATGCCAAATTGTAGCCCGGGTGTAGTTTAAAATTTTGGCCAGAATTAAGCTTAATTTGGAACGAATTTAGATTAATTCTAAACTACACCCGGGTGTTATTTAGAGACAATACAAATAATGGTTTATTGTTTTTAATATTAGCTTTTAAAGTTAAGTATCATTTCTATAAATTATCGAGAATAAGCACCTCTTTTTGCTTGTAATGCGGGTCATAATTATTGTAAAGCGGGCCAAAGTTATTATAGTGATCAGCATTATTTGTCACACAGATATTTGCCTAACGGAAAACGGTGTCCTTAATTCCCTTAATTTAAATGGTTATATAGGATGAAATAGTTTTTGAATTAAAACCAAGTTCTATCTTTCTCTTTAACAAAATGTCTGGTCGTCAAGGTATTTTTTTTAAGTTTGACAAACTAAAATTAAACCTTGAATAAAATATAAAATAAGTTATATATGGATTTTAGTCACTTATTTCTCATGATTCGTTAAACATAGGCGGCAAATTAAAACCACTTAAACAAGGCAAAAAGAAAGCTTCCGATTTAGATGAGGTATATGTTTATTTCTGTCAAGAGCTATTTCTTTTTGTTGTAACTTACAAATCATATTTTATACGACTATGATCGGAACGATTTTTAGGCTGATGTAGAATTCAAGAAAAAACAGCAAGAAGAACAAAAAAGGTTAAAAGAATTAAAAGACAGAGCTAAGCAAGGTGGACCTCTTGGTGAGTTAATATTTATAAGATTTTTATTTTTATTTTTCTTAAATACATTAACATGATTCTAACTTCATAACTACAGGTGGGGGTGGCATCAAAAAATCTGGAAGCAAAAAATAAAGTCGTAATATTAATTGAAGAATAATTATATTAATATTTTAAGTGTCCTATGCGAGACACAATCCGACTAATAAAGTTGATTTAATTCTAAAGTAGTTTTTTTATTTATTTTAAATTATTTAAATCATCAAAATTTTGAATATTACATAAATTAACAAATTAAAATAGGAAACCTGTCTTATTCGAAAATAAATATGAATATATAGGTCAAATTTTCACAAATATCAGTACTAAATTTCGACCCATTCCTTGCCTTCATCGTCCCAAAAATTTTCTTTTTTTAAAAATTCACTAATAGTTTCAAAATATCCCGGTTGAAGAGTAGTATCATTATGAAAACCATTATCAAACCTTTTAAATTCTTTGACCTTTGTTTGTGACAATTCGAATAAATCAGTCATATGAGATGGCGGTACTATTTCGTCACGCGCACCTGATAAGAATAATATTGGAGTATGAACTATTTGTTGTATTGAGGTTTCTGAAGGCCAAATTTGATGGCATAAAAATGATAAATATTTCAACTGAGGCATGACATAAGGTATCACTTTTGGCTGTATTTTTAAAGAATGAAATGAATGAATTATGTGAATGCTTTTGGTATATATAACTAAATCATATATTCATTGAAAATGGTTTACTTACAATACTTAAAAATGTATTTTCTAAGATCATAGCACTGAACTAAATTTAATAAAATCACAAATAAGTCGAATGTTTAATAAAAACCATAATATAAACAAGATTAAAATATCGTACTTTATCTTCATTTCTCGAAACCAAATCAATTGATATAGCACCACCAAGTGATTGACCAAACGTTATAAGCTTAGTATTCTTTAAATCATCATCTTTCATTACATGATCTAAAAAAGTCTAATAAAAAATTAATTGTAATGATATAAACTTAAGTTTTTGATGTAAATCTAGAAGACTTACTTGTGCATCAATTCGAATGCCTTTTTCAGAGGGCCTACCCTCACTCAGACCATATCTATATCAATTTCCAATGATAATTTAATAATATATAATATATAATTTCCGAATTTCGAACCATGAAAATAAATAAGAATTACCCTCTATAAGAAATCAAACACACATTACATTTGAATTGAACGTAAAATATTTGAGCAATTGGTAATCTATGTCCCTTGAATGATTTAAAGCTTTTCAATAAAACAATACGAAATTAGGATTAAAATAAAATAAAGATGGTTATATACCATGTTTCCGGCGTTGGCCTATAGAAAAAACAAATCCAATTCAATATAACCAGAACAATAAAAAAAAAAATCAGAGAGAGAATAAAAATTGTAAACCATGGTTAAAGTCAAATGACACCATTAATTACAATAAATAGAATAAATAGAAAAATATTAACAAGGAAACTTACATGAAAAAATAAGATTGTGGGCCTATTTCTTGCATCTTGAGGTAATTTACAAATATAAGCTCTAATATTTACATCATCTTTAGTAGATAATATTTCTTCAGTATATTCCATTCCAAAATCAGATGGCTTAGGGACCTGTAATAAATCATTCGCAAGAATCATTATTATTTAATAACAAATCGAAGTAAAAAAAGAGGAACTTTTCTTCATAGGCGATAAACCGTAATATTGATATAAAGGTAATACTCACGTTATGTCTAGATCCTTCAGGAAATCTGGCAGGATAAATTAATTCACATTGAAAAACGTATAACAAGCTTGCTGAAACCAATACAATCAGACCAGTACTGGTCATCAGAAATTGTAAATATGAAGGTACATAATCCGATAACAAAGACATTTTTCCCAAATGATAATGTCAAACTATCGGAGGAAGTTTATGTATAGCAAGGTAGACTAATACTTAAAAGAGGGAATTAAATGAAATATGGGCTCAAATATAACGCGAGAAATCGAAGCCCGAAGAATGTATAATTACGTGTATATGTCGATACCTGATATGTATACGTAGTTACGTAATGACCAAGCCACCCTATATTAGATATCTATTTTCAGTTGATTTAGTTGATTTCTTACTGCGCATTAAATCTAAACCATGAGATAATCTAATGCAAACACCAATATTACTGTTGCAGAAATTTATCTATTTTGGCATTTATCGACAATACATATATATATATAATTTTAAATTTGATTACAGGTTTCTTTGGCGATGCTCATATATAGCTCTGCCGGATCACAAAAGTTAAATTGGTACCAACTGACAGTTTATGCGGTTCCATGTGTTAGAATTGCGAAATACTGTATGTAGTGTTACTATTTTAAGAAAAATTCATACGAAGCTTTATTTTGTTACAGCCTTAAAATCTGGTCGTTACGCCGTAATTGCGTACATTCGTTAGACGTTCCCGTATTATGTTAGCAATACTATTGGTCAAGCATAATATGATCATCATTTATACGTACGTACATGAGATTTTTATCGTTACTGTCTCTATATGCTGTATATAAATCCGTGTAACAGGTCAAAAGGTCAAAAAGAGAATAATATATAGTATAGGTAACACCTACTTTAAATTAATTATTTATTTATTAAGGTATTCCAAAAAGATCCTGAAAACCAAATCGATCAATATGATCAATATGGTGAACTCTCGATATAGTAAAGATTCGATGTAATGCATTTTGAATTACGAAATTATTAAACTTCAATTTGCTACAGTGAAGTACGTATGATATATTCTCTTGATGTAAGTTATAGCGAAAAATTTTTTTCTTAGCCTGATGACTTCACTATAACGAGAGTTGTATAAGTTGGACTATAATATATAACAAAAATCATAGGTCATGTTAGATCTTGGGAATAAGCGAAAAGTCTTATCAATTATTAAAGACTATTGGCTAAGATTGCTTCATACATACCAATAACTATTACAGTATTAAAAACAAAAAACATAGATTTCTCATATATTTAATCTGATAAGGACTCGTCTTTAATGAATTATTTGTCTTTTTGTAGCACACAATTTAATCTTGACATATTATTTTACATGGAATAATCTTATTACTAGCGAATATAATGCTTTCTGATATATCTTCGAAATAATTACCCATACATAAAGTACAATATTTACAAAATTAAGTAGTTATGATGAATAGTAATATACATATAAATAATATATGAAATATGCAGTAACATGTAACATCACGTGACCATAATAACGCTTCAAAGATCGATTTGATTTTCTCTCAATTCACACAGGTAAGAATCAAAAGAAGCGCGATCTATTGACAGATTCCATTGAATAAAGTTCAAGAAGGATCTTTCCTAGAGATAAAAAATTGAGAGACAAAACATGAGAATAGGTCATAAGAAAAAGGCTAAAGAAAACTATTTCTTATTTCTAATATGAACATGAGACATACCATTCTTATTATTTCTTTGATTGACCAAACATCTTTTCCAACAGATTCTGACATTTTTCTAGCGGTAATTGGTACATCATCGACATATTTACTAGCTACTAGAATAGAACTAATAAAAACCCTATGGGCGGTTCCGTACTCAGTTTTATAGTTTTCAGGTAATTGTTTTTTAAGCCGATGAACGTAAATTAAGCCAACGACAACGATTAAAACTGGTAAATTTAAATCATGAATAATTTTCGTTATGAAATCTGGTAAATCAGGAAGTTGTTGAGATTGACGTTGCGGTTGACTTGAATGAAGGATTGAGCCCATCGAGGTCGTGGTAAAATCTAATAATAATTGTTCAAACAAAGAGAATATGAGAATATGAGAATATGAAAGGATGAATAGAACAGATTTCAAAGGAAAAGAACGTGAATTAACAATTTACCAATTAGTTCTGTCGGAACAGGCTTACGCATGGAATATTCTATAGTGGCCATTTTTTATTGTTAAAATATATGTATTTTTTTTTGTAGGAAAACGCGAAAATATATTATCTTTGAAACAAGACGATATTATGAAAATTTCTTATTATATAATTTAAAGATTTAAGATTAAAAATAAAATTGGTTAAAAAAACCCCACAAATTTATCTAACTTTATATTTCAAGTTTGAATAAAATAACAGAATATTCGTTCGATAAAATATTCGATTAAAAATGAAAAAGATCTTGAGAATTAATTTTACAAAATGAAAAAAAGAAAGGAAGTGTGTGAGTCATTTATTATACTTCGTAAACATAGCAAAAACGCATAGTTACACAGATTTGATGTGTAATTTCCATAAAAGAATTCTGATAAAGTTTACGGTAAACAACGAATCTGAAACAAATGGTCACGAGATTAACTTCATGTTGATGTCAATTAACCTTTTCATGGATGTTCCCCGAACATTGATGCAGTTAATAGTCATAAATTGGACTAGGCAACATGATATCATGAATAAATTACTTATTTCTCCACATTATTACACAAATTTCCTTTTCTTATTACAAAATGTTTTAAATGGTTTACTATGTTTTTACGTTTATCATCAATGTCAAATAGTTATCACATGGCTTAGGATCTTCCAAAATAGTTTGGGCAACTTTGCTACCCAAGGAATGTTATTGGTTCTTACTATATTGATATTACTAACACTCATACTTCAAAGGTATTTCTATATAATACTATTGTAAAAAGTTTCTTTTGATTTCTAGTACGTACGAAAATGTTCTACAGTATAAGTGAAACATTTTATTATTAAATCGATTGATTAACGTTAATAATACGTTTTATTAAAGAGTCAGTCACCTATACTGCAAGACAAATTCTATTAATAGTAAGATATGAGAAAAGTTAATGGAAATATCAATATGAGAAATTTTAATGAAAATTTAAAATTTTAAATAATTTAAAATCCAGCTTCACTTTACAATAATCATTTTAGAAAATGTCGTTCGTAACGAGTGGTTTAAGCATCTCTTTAAAAGATGTCGTGTAACAATATATATGATCACATGTTGATTGTCCGGAGCTAATCGGAGGATCGTTATAGCGATAAGTAAATTGCAATGTTCTCACACGTGTTGATCACTTAAAAGGGATTCGCAAGTAACACAAAGAAAATTTCATAAATGTGCACATGTTCGGTTTAGTCAAGCGTGTGATTAATAATTTTTTGCTTAATATGATAAGTATAAAGATATTGGTCATACGATGAAAAATAACAAGGCATGGCTTTCATCGGAGTTAATGTCACTTCCATGTGCTGTGTAGCAGCATTAACTCCGACTAAAAAATTTCCTATGCCAATATCGATGTTATCATTTATATTATATTAGCATGTGAAATTTTTTGTCGTGATATTTTGCATAAATGAATATTTCATTTAACTCATACAGGGAGGTCCCCAAATTTCAGTGTCGGAATACCTCGGAACCATGCCTACAGGGCCGGAATTAAACTACTTTTGCTAGTCCGTAATCAACTGTATCAACCTAAAAAATTTCGTTGTTATATTAGTCTTATATTTTGCTATTAATTTAGGTTAGAAAGTATTTCTCTAATATCAAAAGTTCGCAATGAAAAGTTTTTATTAATGCGCAGAATGAATGTAGTTTCGTTTTTCTGCGTAATACCTGATATTGAAATCTGATTGGCCAGCAAAATTTTTTAGGTTGGTAACGCTAGGATGCATATCGTAAATGTGGCGCGAAGACTAAATTTTTAAAATTCGTTAAAGTTAAGGTTAGTGTCAAAGTTAGGATCTAGAGCGGAATAGTTAATGTAGTAAAATTGTTCAACAAACTTTTTTTGAGCTATGAGCGATTTTCAGCAGAACGAACGTTCTTCCTGATCGTGTTATATTACACATAATCTTGACATCTAATTTGTAGTTCAGGACCAACCTTGTACACATTTACGATATGCGCTAGGACAGTTAATGAAGTCATAGCCCACTCACTAAGCAATATTGCCCAGCTTATTATTTTGGCCCAGAAATGGTTGACTCTCGGGACCATAGTAAAAGAATTTAAAATATGAGAAAATACTAGACTCAAAAATACTGATATACTTGTAATTTAAAATTCTTCATTATATCAAGAGCTCACTATAATAAGGGTTGAGCTGTATTTGAACTGACTGATTCTTTCTGTTATTTAATTCATGAGTATATCTACAATCTTTTGTAGTATTATTTATTTGTTCATGAGTGCAGGCAGATTCGTTTATAAATCCAATTACAGTAAAAGTTTACTATATCAAAGCTTATTGAACTGAGTTTGGAAATGTGTAGATTTGTATATTCGATAATTCAATGTCATTTATACAATTTACTTCATGGCTTACTGTTCTTTTCGAGATTATTATTTAGTAATCAAGTTTCTCTTAAAATATATTTATCTATTTATTGTCTAATAGTAGTGGTTTTGTCTCTTAGGAAACAATTCAAAAAATTTTCGATTTCAAATTTTTCCTGAAACTTGTTAAGGTTGGAATATCATGAGACTGCACCCTCGATTAGTGATAATATACTCATAAATCTTTAATTTTTATTAAATCGATCTTGTAAAAATCCATAATAAAGTAAAAAAAAAAAAAACTAGGACTCCATAGTCAAAAATAAGATCTCGTCCGTTTAAAAAAATTAGCTTAGTAATAAGTTGATTTTATCGGGTTTTGGGAAGTTATTACTATACTAACTTTTTTAAACGGACGAGAATTAGATCTTATTTTTGGTTATGAAGTCCTACAACTCAAATGAAACCTTCTATACAGATTTTTTTATTTAATTATTATTTTTCGTTATTTTAAAAGAAGTACTCTAAACTGTATAAATAATTTATAAGCAGAAGTTTTGTCTGATTGGCTAATAAATTCAATTTAATTTTACATTTTACTGATTGTGTTCCACAAAACCGAACCGAAGACCCGGAATCGACCCTAGGTTCGGATCTGGGTCTCCCATTGAAATCAAATTACTCACGTTTAGGGATAGGTACTCGTAAAGATCGGGTCCGGACGGTAAAAAACCGAAGATTAAAATAATTCTCAGTCCTTGGTCCGTAATCGTCCGGTCCTATTCCTAATTATGGTCTGATGATAATCGTTAATAAAAAACATCGACAAATTAACATAAAGTAAATAAAAACGTAAATAATAATCGGAGTTCCAATCCGGATAAATCTGTCATCCATTTATCCATATCCGGATATCCATTTACCATTGATATCCGAATAATTATCAGGATATCAATAGTAAAACGGATATCCGAATATATTCAGATCTGGATATAAATGGATAAACGGATAATGGATTGATTTCTTCATGTATAAAATATATTTTTTATATTTTAACAATAAGTGTTGAAAAAATTAAATATAAGGTAGATATGCCTAAGTTGATCATAATCACATGATTTTGGTAACATTCATTGAGACGAATCGAAATCATATATATAATTCCGATTAACATTTCACGAGATATCGTCTTTAACTAAAATCAACTACACATAATTTTTAAAAATTGTTGTGCGAACCATCAATCAGAATCGCATGATTTTGGTACCATTCGATTTGTCTTATTGAGACGAATCGAATGATACCACAATCCTGTGATTCTGATTAACGGTTCGTGAGATATTGTTGGTGGTGTTGGTGGTGTTGGTGTGCCGAATTAGGCACTGCACCAAATTAAGAAAATTTTTAACAAAGTTTTCAATAAACAATATCTTGTGGTCTATTGATCAGAATCGAACGCTTTTGGTACCATTCAATTCGTCTCGATGAGACGAATCGAATGGTGCCAAAATTGATCAATCTACCACATGATATAAATCGTAATACTTACATGTGCCGAATTAGGCATATCTGCCTTATATGTATTTAATTCTTAGTATTAATTAGCCTCACGTATAAAATATATATTTTACACATTTATACATATGCATTTAACAATTCGTCGGTCAATAAATAAAATTTTTAACGACAACGATAAGCGTTGAAAAATAAGTCGTAAGACCAATTCTAGGGCCAAAAGAACGGACTGACTGAACTAATAAATACTATAAAAAGGAATCGAAACCGACCAGGACGGACCAATCCATCTCTGCACATGATTTGCGATTTTCCCAGCATAACCAACAAAAAATCTCGGGTACGTAACGATTGAAAATGCGTTTATATTAGGGTTAAGCTTACTTTAGAGTTGCGAATAGTGGTAAAATCGCCTAAGAAAGGCTTTTTGTTAGAGCGCTAAAGGTGATTTCTTATGCAGATTTTGAGTTAGGAGCGATTTTTGGCAAAACGACCATTTGCTTTGAATTTTCCTGATCGTGGTATATTACATCAATTAGCGATTAGCTATTGGTTAGATCCTGTCGATCATCACGTGCCTGAAGTTATCGGCATTTTAAAACAATGAGGCCGCCAAGGAAAAATCCACATGTTGTACTTATGAATATTTACTTTCAATAAAAATATCTTAAAATCAGACAATTTAGTACCTACTGTTCTTAATATTATTTGAACCGTCTTATTAAGATGATTCGAATGATATTAAAATTTAAATTGCCTGATTTTTAAGATATTTTTATTAAAATTAAATTTTCAAAAAGTAATATTGATTTAAGCCAAGTTACCCGACCAGATACTTACCAATGCTGAAAAACAAATTGCGGCATCAAATTATGTTCTTGCAGAAAAAGGAATTCATTATGTTCAAGAAAATGCAAATGTGTTCTACATTGGGAATATAAAAAACATTTAATTACATTGTTAAACTATATA